CAAGCGATCATTGGCAGCTGATTCATCTGAAAGGACATGTTGGGTTATATTTTGGTGACCTAATTCAGTATCCATTTTGCTTGTATGGTGTCTGTCTGAGATATTAACTCATTCACTGCCACTGGCAACTAGTCATCATTTTAAATCCAACCGTTCACTGCCAATGACTAAAGTCGTCATTTGCATTTTTTTACTCATCAGCCTGACAACGGGAAGAGTAGCACCCTTTCCGGTAAATAAATAAAAAATTACCGGACTTTTCCGAGCTTTCGGAAACACTCAGACTTTGTCTGAAAGAGTGGTTGTGAACAAAATTCGTCACACCACTACTGCGCGCACCTGCTTAGCTTAAAACGAACACAGTGTTACGTTTTAGTCAAGAGAGCAGAAGAAGCTTGCATTTGAACACCGCAAAATATAGCTTAACCGGCTTAAGTCAACGCTAAACCAAGCCCCCACAATGCGGCTCAGAAAGTGGTCTCAACCCGGAAGTACCAAAAATTGCAGTTCCACCCTCATCCACTAGGGGCTGGTGTCAGAAGCGAGCAAATCCTCATTGACTCCCATGTTAAAAATACCAATTTTACAGCAGAAATGAACATGTTTACAGCCTGGTACCAAAACATGTTTTTGGATTAAATGATCTAGTTTACACTCATGACAACTCTGAGGGGGTGACTGTTTTTCTCACTCTTCTGTTTAAGTGTATTAAAAGCCTAAAATTCTGTATAATTATTGAGTATCCGACACACGTGACCGCTGCCTCAGACCCACGTGACCACAGAGCTAGCTCCGCGGAAAGGCCTCAGTAGAGCCTCGGTCTGGCTTGGAAACTGCTCTGGCATTTTGAGTCTGTGTTTGTGTATTCTTTTTTGGAAATTATTTGTGCAATTGTTGGACAAAATGACTTGCTGTGGCATTCATTGCACTAATAGGGTTAGGGTTAGTCTCCACTTTATTTTTTTCGGTAAGTAAAATTATATTTATGTATTTTAGGTCACTGCCGAGCTGAGCTTAGATTTTAACATGTACTGTTTAACCATGAAATTTAAATGTAATAGGGTAAAACCCAGTGCATTTAACACAATGCTGCATTTTAGAAAATGGGTTGAAATATAACATGTTGGTGGAGCTGGGTTCCGACTATCGGCTTGTGGAGCTCTCGGGAGACCGATGTTTTCCACCCGGTTCTCCCCTCCCCGCAGCCCGGCGCATCTCTGTCTGATCACGGCTTTTGTCTGCGGCACGGGCTGCTGGCTGGTTCTCCCCGCAGCTCGGCGCATCTCTGTCTGATCGCGGCTTCTGTTTGATGCGCGGGCTGCCGGCTGGGTCTCCCCGCAGCGCAGCGCATCTCTGTCTGATAGTGGCTCCTGTCTGCTGCGCGGGCTGCCGGCTTGTGGAGCTCTGGGATGGAAACCTTTCCACCCGGTTCTCCCCAGGGGCAGCTCTGCGCATCTCAGATTGCAGCGGTGCTTGTCTGCTGTGCGGCTGCCAGCTTGTGAAGGTCTCTGAGACCTCTGTGTTCCACCCGGTTTTACCCAGCGGTTAGCCCGGCGTATCTCTGACTCAGAAGCTCTGGTGTTGTGCACAGTTAACTCCAGTTGTAGCTAGGTTGCTACCTCCGTTAGCTTAGCTCCCACCTCCGCATTAGCTTTGGGTTAGCTTCAGGTTAGCTTGTAGCTAGTTCGACAGGGTGTCGTCAGTTGATCCCAGCCTTACAGCCCCACCCTCAGCTCCTCCCCTCTTCCCTTTTACGGAATTGTCTGGGCTTGACGGAACCTGAGACACGGTCAAAATGGCGGTGGTGGCCACCTCCCATTTTAGTACAAAAACGTGTTATTGGAGCCTAAGGAAACCCATTGTCCATATATGTATGTCGATGCGCTAAACGAGTGCATGGTATGTTGCCGCTGAAGAGGATTGTCCTATCGAAGGGAAATCCCGAAGTCCTGATATTGTTCATATCGAGGCACCGCCAGCAAAGCTAAAAATAGTGGGAATAGCAAGAGTTTAGCTTCAATAGCTTAGCTCATCTGCGGAAGCAGAGTGAATCATTGTGCCTCGCTTCCATTAATCACGTTCCTTTAGCAGATGCTGCCATCTTGAGGCGGTTTAAAACCCGGCTTAATAAAGTGTTGCTTTTCTTTTCTGTGTTTTCACTAATAAGCTTATTTCTCAAAATAAGGTTTCTAGTGCATTATCAATGTCATTCAAATCACAAAAATTTCTCTTGTAACAAAGCTCATTTACTAACAACCGTATTCAGCTTCCATTAATTTACAACAAATTAAAGGGCCCGTACATAGTTTAAAAATGAGCTCAGAGGAAATTAAACAATTAACATCTCTCATCCTACAGATGAGGAACGATTTTCAGGGATCCCAAATTCAGCTTGCCGAGATAAGAAACCAGTCCCAAATGCAGATTACTGAGATGAAAGACATCACAATGCAGCTTTCCAAAATGCGACAGGAAGTCACAGAAATCCAAGTTAAAACAAACAGTCTACAGAGCGAAAGGGCAGTGACTCTGTGTTCTGCCGATCTTCCTCCAGATAAAATGCAAACGAAACGCTCTGATGTATTATTTGGCTCTGACTTACAGCAAACACTCTCATCTCCGACTAACACGCCTGACGTAATTTCACAGCACCCTGATGTTGTACAAGACTTAAATCTGTCCGATATTGATCTGCTTCCAGAACAAATTCTGCAAACAGGAGTTTCTCCTTCAGAAAACAGAAACACCTGTTCCTGTACACTTTGCCTGTACACCTGCCGCATGGAGCTTCGCTTCGGTCGTGGTTCGAGACATCCTGGTCCTGCTCTGCGCTGAGAGGTCGCCTGGAGACCGTCCGGGGACCTGATGCTGCCAGCTGGTCGTCTGTCTACATTTATGTCTGTACTGACTGGGCACTGTGCCCAATTGGTGCTAGACAGGGTATTTTTATTTACTTTAGTATGAATTGGCCTATCAGCAGCAAAGTTCAATAAAATATGCATTTTCCATTGAAGTACCCATCTTTCTTGTGTTTATTATCATTTTTCACATAATTAAAGCAATCTCATGCTAAATTTAAGAAACATGTAAAAAATTATCCGATTAGTCGACTATTAAAATAGTTGTTAGTTGCAGCCCTACTTCACATCTTCTGGACTCCTGGACAACAAAGCCAGACCCAGGTACCGTCGACCCACGACGCCCAGATTTATCCCCAGAAGAACCTCTGGCTATCAGCTGCCTAACCACCAGCTCCACAAACACATCAGCATCAGCAGGACGCCGTGAAACATCAACAACTTCAGGAGCAGCAGTGTGCACAGCTGCTCGGTGAGGATGAAAACCTCCAGTGACCTCCTCTCAAGGTCACAACCATGTCCCCTGGACCAGTGGAGAAGGAATGGACAAAGCAGAGAGGGCCGGTCAGGGGTGAAACAGGTCCACTCCCTGGATGTGCTAAGAGTGCAAGAAAGAGTTTGTCTGCAGCAGGACAAGAACCGCTCTGCAGAAGAGCACAGCAGCTAAAAGCTCCTGAACATTGACGGACATTATCACCTGAAACTCAGACACTGAAAGTTGTTCATATGAAAAATCAATACCAGGCTAGGTTTGATTTCTGCTACTTCAGATTTTTTGTTCATGAACATTTTCTTTTTATACTTTTCTGAAGAAAAATAATATCTGTTTTTTTCTGCTATTATTGTTTTGGTTTAAAATGCCAATTATAAACTACGCACTAGCTTTAAATTTTAATAGCTCAATAAAACCAGTTATAATTAAAATAATTAATCTCAGGCCATCAGAAAAACTGTGATCTTGACCTCTGTCTTGATACAGGAGTCTTTAATGAATTGTTGTCATACTTGTTAACATGTAGCCCCTTTATTATGGTATGTGTGATGTTAACACCCCTCCCAGGGTGGAGGTCTGCACTCTGACTGCTTTCTAGTTTTTGTTACTCATCTTTCTGGAGTGTTTCATTTTAATACAGTACCATGTTTTGCTTGCAATTTGTGACAATTTATGGTGTGTTTATGGATAATCTAAGGTAAGCTATCATTCAATTGCAGTTTGTCAAAGTAGGGGGGCCCAGAACAAAATCTTGCATAGGGCCCCCACAATGCGGCCCTGCTAAATATATCCACATATGATCAGCAGAATTTAGTTAGTTCATTAACACGTTCAGTATTAAGCTACTGGAAATGCTAATAACAATGTAATTGTGGCACATCTATTTTATTTATGTACGAGTTAGCAACATAATCAAGTTTAAATTGTATTCAAAGACAGAGGCGTTTCTGAATTACATGCTACAACAGCTTTCCAAAGCCCTCCTGCTGTGTTTGGAGCAGACTCAAAGTGTCCAGACTCCAGGTATCTGCTACGGTTCTGCTCCATAGCGCTGCAGCTGCAGACATCCACAAATAATGGGATAATGGGAGTTTTTCTTCCGCTTTTAGAGTTTAGTCATTCACAACCATCGTGTTTTTCTGAACCCCACTTGATCGTGGGTGTGCTACACTCTAGCTTATCGTTAGCAGTTTAATTCTTGATCCCAAACTTTGGACCATTTTTGCCTCTTACAGTGGTTTGTGTCTGCTGGTTTCTCCATTTTCCTCCACAGCACCTAGATTACCACAATGGGTGCTAGGAAAATGTGTTCAGACTGTGGTGCGCACAGTCTAAAAACAGTTTAGATCTATTTAATCTTATTCTGAGCCCGCTGTGGTTCTTCCTATACAAAAGGCTGTCTTGGTGTTAAGCCACAAAAAATAACATACAGTTCATGATGTCTCTCAGCTAGCTCAGCCATGCTGTGTTCTTTTAGTCCATTAGAACCCTTTGGGAAGTGAACAGCTAAATGCATAGGACAGATGTGTCAGCATCCTTAAAAACCACCTTAGCTTTTGTTTTCTGTACATTATAGAATCCTCCATGACTCCACAGTTCAACATGCTCTTGATTCTAGGAGAACTAGAGCCGTGAGGACGTAAACTCACTGCCTGCCTCCATGAAGGTCTCAGGTCGGTAAGTGAGACCACTCTCTTGCTCCAGCGGGGGACCACAGCTGGCATGTTCTCCAGCTCGCTGCAGGTTAATGACGGTCTTCAAGCCACACCTGAAAACAGAAGTCCACAACCAACTGAGGAGTGTTGACACAAGACCATCTAGAGACAGAGAAGACAAAGGTCAGGACCTGGGGTCTCATTTATCAAACATTGTGTAGAATCCTTACTAAAACCGTACTTAAGCTCAGCAAAAAAAGTTTACTTACACCAAGTGGGCTTGTGATCTATAAAACATGGGAGTACGCGCAGCTGCACGCAATCTCTGCTTTATAAACCACAAACTTCCTAGAAAGGTTCTGAGGAGTTTCTGAATCACGTCTTGCCCTCACCACGCCCACTTTCTGCCACAAATGGCCAGTGCAAAGTGCCTTGTGGATCTCATGCATATACATAAGCCGGCTCGTTGCAGCGCTCCACCATTAACGATGGGGACCGCAGATCAAGGAAGCACAATTTAACCAAAGCTGAAGTTGAGGTACTTGTGGGTGAGGTGGAGAAATGACAGGAAGTGCTTTTGCAAAAAAGATAAGAGAAAATCCACAGAATGGCACAGCGTTGCTGAAGCCGTCAATGTTGTGAGTTCTTCAGAGAGATGTGTGCCGGATATAAAAAACGTTCCAATCTGAAGGTGGAGGCAAAAAAAAATATGTTTTGCCACCGCCAGAGTGTGTCTGCCACTGGCAGAAGCCCTAGCACCTCTGATCCCCCACCGCTCGCTGTTAGGATCTCAGCAGTATTCGTACCGGCAAGCGTGCGTGGCACCGTGTCGGAGAAGGGGGGAAACACTGACCATGCAGAGGAGACTGGTAACGTTGAAGCCTTTAATTCATACAGATCAAATGTGTCTGCCATTAAAATATAAAACAAAAACACATTTCGTCGTTTCCCCCAGTGACTCTGGACGAAGCGTCCAACGAGGCTCCCGGGCGGCAACCAAAGATGTGGCTGCAGGGTCGGCCTGTCCCACCAGTGCACATCGTGCGCGTGGCGCACCTGGAAGTGGCTGGGTGCTAACTGATGTTGTCCTGCAGGCACAGAGGGACATGATTAGTGCGGTGAATGAAGTGTGAGAAGAACTGCATAGAATAAGTGACGCCCTGACTGAAATTTCAGGAACACTCAAAGAATTGGCAAGAAAATAAAAGATGAAAATCATGCTTCTGTGTTGGTTCTATAAACGATGAATGACAATCTGTCTCAATCTGGCCCCTTGATGATATTCTGCATCTCGGGGCGGGGGCTGTGGTTCAGGCTGTGTGTGCGTGTGTGTGCGTGTGTGTGTGTGTGTAGTAGTAGGGGGTTCTGTGTGAAAACGAAGCAGTACAAGTGAAAATGCTGCAGGATTTCAGAATGTTATCCTTCTCAGCAGCAGCACTGCAGGTGCTCTCCATGTCCTACGTGTGCGTAAGCCAGGTCCTTAGTCAACTTACATTGTGCACATTTTCCCGCTAAGTTTGCTTCCATAAATCCCAAAGTTTGCGTGGAAAGTTGCTTATGCAGTTGTCCGACCCCCGTTCTGTGCGTAAGCAAGCTTGATAAATGAGACCCCAGATCTGGGTAATTTGAATGTACCTGTAGAACTGCTGTATTATACCATACTTCTCTATGACTTCAGTGGAAGGCCTGGCCATGGCTAGCAAGCTGTCAGTGATCCTGGTAATGATGAACAGGAAGGTTGTTTTTATCAGTTTTACGTGACTTTAAAGGCTGAAACAAAATTCAGCCACATACCAGGATGAATACAGTCCCTTGACGGCTTGTTCCTCATCTCTCCAGCGACAGGGGTTCTCATATTTACAGGCTTTCCCCCCACAGGCCATGGAGCACTGCATGTGACTGGGGATAACATGTCTCAGAGTCTCCCCCATCTTGGTATATTTTGCTGTGGGGATTCTTGTATTTCCTGAAAAGGCAAACAAATCTTTCAGCTTGTTTCAGCAGCGGTTGTTTCTGGGTGTTGTTCATTCTCCAAAGCCTGAGCTCAGAGGTGGGTGGAGGTGGTGGTGGGGGGGATTCCGGTTCACCAGACTCTATTAATCCTAATAAAGGGTGGGAGGGCTCAGGTTGCATCATTACTCAAAATTCCTCCACCACTGATTGGGTCATGGGCAGCATGATAAGTGTCACCATGGCAACAACTACATCAGGCACAATTCATGAACTGCCCCCACAAATATTCAGAACAGTGATCTAAAGCGGCTAGTGCCTCTGAGGGGCCAGGTCGTTGTTCCTGCACAACTCAGTTCCCAAACCTAAACAGACAGCATGTGACTTAAACAAGACATCAGCAGTAAGAGGCAAAGGAACATGTCCCAAAAGACATAGCAAACAGAGAGTCGCATTGCTGTTATCCAGTCAGAGGCAAGATGTCCAAATATCAGAAAATATTATGAGGACTCATAATCCTGCCTTTCCATCTGGCTAACTTCTACTTCCTGAAACAGGAGGTCCAGAGCTCACGGGGCATTCATTTATACTAGAGAGTCGCAAATGTATTGAAATAATGAGTGTATGTACCAGAGGTGTGGACTTTAGTCACATGACTTGGACTCGAGTCAGACTTAAGTCAATGATTTGATGGCTTTAGACTCGACTCAAAAAAAAAGTTCAAACACATGGACTTGAGCGCCAGAGACTTGGACCTGTTTACTTGAAATAACTTAATATCTTTCCCCATATTTAGCCTTGCTTTAGCATATATTAATTCAAAATTGCCCACTTAACTCTCTCTGTGGGCTGGTGTGTGTGTGTGTGTGTGTGTGTGAGTGAGTGAGTGAGTGAGTGAGTGAGTGAGTGAGTGAGTGAGTGAGTGAGTGTGTGTGTGAGAGAGAGAGAGAGAGAGAGAGAGAGAGAGAGAGAGAGAGAGAGAGAGAGAGAGAGAGAGAGAGAAATAAATTCAAGCGAGCAATCAAACTTACAAAATTCACACTGCTACGCCAGCTCAAACAGGCAGCTCAGCTCATGGGGCAATTTTATACATATTATCTGTGGGTCTAGCCACATTCCACTGGACCCTCAGCAGGCCTGAACTAAAAAAAAATCCCCACTATCCCCATTATGACTCGCACTTGCCTGCATTTTACTTGAGGCTTGACTCAACTTGAGGATAAAGACTCAGGACTTACTTGAGACTTGCAAAACAATGACTTAGTCCCGCCTCTGGTATGTCCAGGGCAGATCTACTGGGCTGGCATAGGATAAAAGAAAGGCAAGGCAGCTTTAGTTATATAGCACATTTTATACACACAGGCAATTCAATGTGCTTTCCATTACTAAAATTGTTTCAGTTAAATAAAGTTTGAAAACCCAAGGTGACATTCTATCCACACATATATCGAAAACGATTTCTGTAGATTTATAGCCTCCTCTACTGCGACTGTGTGAACCTGGGTCCTGTTCGGGTATCACAGTCACGGAGAGCCCAGGCCTGTTAAGGACTAACTACTGTCTATTCACACAAAAGCTATTTGTAAAGTTTGGCCCTGCATGCGCTGGGAAACTGCAAAGTTCCTTTAACGCGCTTTCTGAAACAGATACCAATTGGACTCACACGAAGATGTGGCGTTCTAATGCCGACATGTCTTCTCACATGCTACTCCAGGTACGGAAATTCACGGTTTCCAATTCTGTAATTTCTGGTACCCACGGCAGAAAGAAGCGCTTCCTCCCTGAGTTCCTTTCACTTACTAATACAATTTGGTCACTTTTTAACTGAGGCTTCTCATCAGTAAACGTCGTCAGGATTGCCACTGTCAAACGTCACAGCACCGAGCTTGAAGGGGAGGTCCCTTCCAACTGACCACACACGTTACAGACCACCATGGTCCACACTGGTGAGGTCTCTCTATATTACTTGGATCCGGATAAACACAGGTCTGTTGTAGTTTCTCCTTACTATAATAAAATCTCCTTTGATCTGTCTCCCGCTACTGTGAACCGTGTTACGTTCAACAGTCCGACCATGGTTCGGGTTAGTGCGGTGGACACGGTACTGTGTGAGCCCTCTCCAGGTTCTGGTCTCAGCTTTCAGTCTGTGACTTGCTCCTGGTCCTCCTGTGACTCTGTCATTTCTCTAACTACATGTGCCCACTGCTGTCTATCACTTGGGCTGGCACTACTCCATCACTTCTCTGCCCTTTTGACCCCCGTAGAGTACTCGCTCTGCTTTTTGGGGAACCGTCTAAACATGACTCTGACGTCTAAAGTTCCAAATGGTAGTGCACCTCTACCCCCACCACCTACCGGCAACCCGCCTCCAATTCCACCTCTATCTCTAGTCGTACCTCCACCGACATTTAGGAGGTATGTGTGTGTGCATTAGGGCTGGGCGATATGGCCTAAAGCCAATATCATGATTTATTGAGGATTTCACCCCGATAACGATAAATGGACGATAGCTACTACAGGTATGCGCAGAAACAACAGTTGTCCACCAGATGGGGCTGTCACATGGATTACTTTGAGTCACATTTTTACATGACTCAAGGTGGTACAGCTTCTTAAAGGGACATGAATATTGCCAACCTACACACATCTTTCATTATTTTTATTATCGAATTTATTGACATGGGAAAAATTATCTCGATAAGAGTCAGAAATTTCGATAATAAATTTTCGATTTATTGCCCAGCCCTTGTGTGCATGGATATAATTCATGTCTAAACATAATGTACTTACTTGGCTGTTATGTTGTGGGTTTCTACAGTTCTATGACTAGTTTCATAACATTCATTCATTCATTCATTTATAAAGCACCTTCCACAACCTTTAGCAGAAGCCCAAGATACTGAACACTACAATAAACAGGCACATCAATAAAAACAAGAAAAGATAAAAAAAATTATAAAATAAAAATAAAAACAGAATAAAAAACTGCATAAAAACAGTGAAAAGCGGTTAAATCTGCCAACTGTTAAGTTGAATCCAAATTAAATTTTTATTTTCAATTTCTAGACAGTAATTTTGTACAATTTTTACAAATTTAATATGCCAATTTAAGTTTCACGTTATGTTTACATTTTTACAATACTTATCTTTAATTCATTTTGTGATACATTCACAGATAGGTTTGATTACTAACACTGATTAAATTCTTGTATTCTTCTTCCATGTAATTTTCATTTTTACAATTTCTTTTAAAGGCCCTATGTGTGAAATCCAATAAAATCATGGTGAAAAAAATTTGACTACAATTGACTATAAGTTCTGTGAATTTGGAAATATTTGCTCTTGACTGCCTAAGGGAAACAAAATATTTTAGGGGAACATAATTTCCCACAACACCCATTTCACATGGATCGTGGTGCGCTTGATGTAAACAAACTGGCTGCCGCTACCAGCTAATGGATATGGAGCGATCACTGGCTGCTTGTTGGCCACAGGTGGTGAAGGAGGGTTGGTGAGCCGGGGACATGTTGTGGAGATCAAGTAAAATTTGCTGCTTTCAAGCAGATCACAGAATACCTCTCACAAAACTGTCTGCTTGACCCTAACCAATCTGGGTTCAAAAAGGGCCACTCTACTGAAACTGCTCTGTTAGCAGTGACGGAATCCTTAAAAGAAGCTAGAGCGACTGCCAAATCCTCAGTGCTTATCCTGCTCGACTTATCGGCTGCATTTGACACCGTCAACCATGGCTTTCTTTTGTCCACACTCTCTAGCATGGGCATCACAGAGAAAGCACATGCCTGGTTTGAATCGTACCTCACAGGATGATCATTCAGTGTATCTTGGCTTGGACAATCCTCTACCGTGCAACATCTTGCCACAGGAGTCCCCCAGGGCTCAGTACTAGGACCTCTTCTCTTTGCCATATACACCACCTCAATGGGTGAGATCATTCGATCATGGCTTCTCCTACCACTGCTATGCAGATGACGCCCAGCTCTATCTGTCATTTCCACCGGACGACCACACCGTCTCTGCACGAATATCAAACTGTCTCTCTGACATATCTAAATGGATGAAATCCCACCATCTCCTACTCAACCTCTCTAAAACTGAACTAGTTGTCATCCCAGCAAAACCATCCATACAGCACAATATCTCAATCCAAAATGACTTCCTATCTCTGGCTCCTTCAAAGGCAGTTCGAAATCTGGGTGTTGTGATTGATGAACACCTGACCTTTAAAGATCATGTTGCCTCTGTTGCTCGTTCATGCCGCTTTGCGCTGTATATCATACGAAAGATCAGACCATACCTAACACAACATGCCACCAAGCTCCTGGTGCAATCTACTGTCATCTCCCGCCTCGATTACTGCAGTGCCCTTCTAATTGGTCTTCCAGGCTGTACTGTGAGACCTCCTCAAATGGTTCAGAACGCAGCGGCGCGTCTGGTCTTCAATCAGCCAAAAAGAGCACACATCACTCCTCTGTTCATTGAGCTCCACTGGCTACCGCTAGCAGCACGCATCAAATTCAAATTGCTAACACTAGCATACAAAGTCCGAGACGGTACGGCTCCCATCTACCTGAATCCTCTTGCAAAGGCTTACGTCTCGGCCCGGCCACTCCGGTCATCACAGGATTGTCGGCTAGCAGTGCCTACACCACGCTCAGGACAATCCAGACTCTTTTCATGCATTGTTCCACAAATGTGGAATGACCTACCAAACACTACCAGAACAGGGGCTTCCTTTTCAATTTTCAAGAAACTCCTGAAGACCCTGCTCTTCAGAGAGCATCTTCTTAACTAGCACCGTCCCTGCACCCGTCCCCCCCTCTCTACTGTCCACTCCTTGTTCCCTCCTCTCCATGATTGATGTCAAGTTGTTGTTATTGTTGTTGTTTGCCTCAAGGGCAACATGCCGATTATCACTTGTAAGTCACTTTGGACAAAAGCGTCTGCTAAATACATAAACATATACATAAGCATAAGTAAACAATGCTGACTTAGTCACCAGGTAATCGTGGCTCACAGCTGGCGTGGTGGAGATGGGCGTCCCGAGCTACTAGTTAACCATGGCTAGAGCTGGGGGGACACTGTGTATGCTATACGTAAACTCCCACGGATTACAAGCCAAAGGAGACCCAAGTCTAAAGTTAACATTTGAGAAGAAGCCCTCCGAGTTGAAGAAGTGCGTTGCGTGGAAAACTACATCGCTGTTAGTAAAGTATATATGTCACCAAAGTGTACAGTAATTTATGCCATTTCTTGCCATATTTGCCCTCCTTCTGCCACCCTATAAAATGTTTTCTAGGTCCACCACCATGTATGTACTCTTCAAAAACAACATTTCTACAGAAAACCGTTTTAGCTAACTGAGGGAAATGATCCATTATACAATTAATACACTCATTCCTTTTGACCAGGCACTAAAGGCTTCTCCCTCAATGAAACAGAAGCAGAAAATCCTGCAAGACCTGCAATTTCTCATTTATTCTCATTTTAAAAACAGACTAATGCAAAAAAATCTAAGAGGACTGTGTAGTCTTCATGCTACACAGCATCAGACATATATGAGTCATTTATCCTGTTCCAGTGCTCTCTTACCTGTCTCCATCTCAGCGTTGATCTCTTTCACAGAACCACTGATGGAGTGGGGCAGGTCAGTCAGAAGGCTGACACCAGCAGCCATGGCACAGGCTGAAGAAGGACAAGGAACATTCTGTCAAATACAGGTGGAAAAAGCAGCCAGACAGCTCGGTAAAAGATGCTCTAGCTGGGCTGTCACCGGGGTGTGAACATGAAGGAGATGTGAGCAGTGGGAGAGGCGTTGCCTGGCATGATCCCTCAGGGATGAAAAGGAAATGATTAAAGTGAGCCACCATGTCAGCAGCTCATGTATCAGTCTCATCACACCACCTCTGGTGACCCGTGGGTGTGGCCCGAGGACAACAGCATGACAGACGAAAGGACAACCAGGAAAAGATGTTATTCCCGAGTACTGAGATGGACTGGAATAGAAACATAGAAGTATAGAAGGCACAATCTGTCTACATTTAAATCTTTAACCTTTTGTTTTTTACTAAATTGGATTAAAGGAGACATTCAATTTTTTAACAAGTTATAACAGTTCTCTGGTCTCACATAAATCATTTTAAGCTGTTTTATTCTTGATATTTTCAGTGCCTTCCACAATGAACAATTTTCAGGGCTCTGTCACTTTAATGAAAACAAGCTGCTGCTGACCACGCCCACCCATCCCTGATTAGCTGCTATGAGGCGAGGATCTCGTAAGGCGCTCAGAGTACAGCCGTTGCTCCCACCATCAACGGGTGAGGAGGGTTGGACATCGATTGATTTTGAACGATTCCGATTCCAATTCCGGTTCCCATCGATTCACGATTCCGATTCTTTCAAGACATGACATGTTTTACATGAGCTAGCTAACCACAAGTCCTACTTGATGAAATCATCTTAACTTCAACATGAATTTTAACTCTATGTACAATAACACTTTCATTTAGACAAAACCATGTTTTGGAGAAAAAAAGAAAAAGGCTTGTAGCACAGGGAGGGAGGGCTCGGTGCTGCACACAGACAGCTGGTGTGAACAGCTCTGAAAAGTGTTGGTCACAATTTGCAGATCACGTTTATTTTTCACGGAGATCGGCCACGGATTCCTCTTCTGTCGGCATTCTAGGAATCAAAACTAGGAATCGAAATAAAAAACGTTGAAAAATGAACAGTTGGAACCGGTTCCAATCGGGTGAGGGAGCGTTCTATGGTAATTTCCCCTACTGTGACATCACAATAAGAGACTTATTGAAACTGCTTGTTTAGACAAACGATTCCTAAAACCAGAAAACAGATGGGTGGTTTTAATTCATGTTTGTAGTGTTTAAAGAGGCAGTAGAGACCTACATGGCAGCTCAAAAGGATGCAAAAAGTCAGAGCTGCATAATATATCCACTTTGATGTTCTGCTACTGTATCTTTTTTCAAAATCACACAATTAGAAGGCTTTCAATAAAAATATGAAGAGCATGAGAAAGAGCCTGAGTTAGTTCACACTTACGTCACCTCTCCTCAGAGCAACGCACCAAGACTCAATGAATAATAGACTATGTAGAGCTAGAAGCACTGGGCTCTTTCCACTTTTTAAGCTGTAACCCACACTTCCTCTCACAAACTATGGGCACACCAAAGGGAGTGTAATACCAGCTGAAAGGTTTCCAACATTACAGGTGGAAAGAAGCAGATTCAGTCGGTTTGGGAGTTGGTCCAGTGAGGGCCCGACACCACATCTCCTGATAATAAGCTGCTCTTCATGACAAATATAATAGATGCAGCATATATTTGTTTACAACTGAGCCAATGTGGAAATCACTTTTGGCTGCTAGTAAAGAGCTCACTAACCTGGATGCTGTAAACATAAGTTGTTGATCCATGATCCCATCCACAAAGAGCTGAGGAATTAGAGGACATCACAGAAAAGTTGTTTTCTGTCATGCTGCTAATGAGTGTTGGATGTGAGAGTCATTTCCACTGAGTGCTAATAATGAAATGTGGCCCATGAGCTGGTGTTTCTCACAGCATGTTTAATTAATGTGTCTGAACGGACTCCCATCAGACAACAAGCAGAATATCCGGTCTGGACCGCAACCTGACCCGGTTCTGTCTGACGAACAAACATCTGTGAGGCTGCCACTGAAGGAAAAATGTTTATCAGAGTTGGGTTTTTCATTTAACCTACTTTAAATAACTGGTGGGAATGTTTGGGTGCCCTTAACATGAAGCAGAAGGAAACTTTTGCGACAGTAAAAAATGATTTAAAGCGGGAGTCAAGGCATGGGCGGAGACTTCCTGTTAGAAAAACACCTGGAAAAACGCACTGAGGCAATGGTTGGCAGAACTTTCTCGTGTGTGGTCTCGGAGTTTCTCAGATGGAAAAAAAGAGGCTTTAACAAGCTCGTGCACACTCGCGTGTGCACAAGAGCACACACACAAACAACAGACTCACCACTCAGGAGAAGAGCAGACACAGAAACTGACTGCAGGAAGGAGAATTTCTTGTTCAATTCCTTCATTAGAAAAAAGGGAGGATGACGTATTACTTAAAGGAGCATGGGGCAGGAATTGTCCAAAAACAAGAAGTAAATAGGATACATGTTCATTCTTGTGAAGCTTATGGGTGATGAAGCATTTTAAACTAAAAAGAATGATGAAACCAGTTTATCATTCCATTTTGTTAATCAGGCTGTGTGCTGCAAAATGCAAAACATTCCTGATCCGAATTTCCCGCGCTGTTTTACGGATGTGACGTTAATTGACGCTTCAAGCGCGTTCTCGACAAGGTTCAAACCCGGAAAAACATTTGGAAGCTTGCTAGGTGGCGGTAATGCGTCTTTCACTACTAGCCACGTTAAAACCCCAAACAGAAGAGGAAGAACCCTGGAAATGGATTCAGCAAAGCCCACTAAAGAGTGACACAAAGAAGAAGGTTTTATCAGCGGCATCTCGAGAGTCAAAAGGAAAATATAAAAGTCGGTCAGGGACCCGAATATGTATTGGGTACGCTCTGGAAGAATGAGGCTGGTTCAACTCAATTTGGGCCTGAAAAGGATGCGGACATGGCGCATTTTCTAGTGACGAGGTAAGTGTTGTATTAGCTGGTCTCCTTATGTCTGCTGTAGGTTTCAGTAACGAGTAGGTAAACATATCAGAGCAGTTTCTCCACAATTTAAGAAAAGAAAATAAAACCTATGGATTTAGATAATACTGATTTAGGTAATCTAACAAATCTTTGTGCAGATGAACAAGAAACTTATGTAAGCTAACGGTGTTTAGCATATGGCTTCCTGATCAGTTTGAAAAAGCTAAAAGCAACTAAGGAGTAATCGGATCACTTCTACGTTTTGTGGACGACACACCGCTTGTGTTTGGAGATAAATGGATGCTCCGTTTATTCTGATGGGAAAAGTAAACAGAGCTTGATTTGATTATATGACATCACCGATCAGTCGGAGAGAGCTAGCGTGCGTTAGCATGTTAGCTGTGATCACGCTTCAGTTTGTATGTACCACAGAAGAGAACGGACATTTTCCAAACCAAAGATGAGTCTTTAGAATTATGTCATATTTGATCTACAGTCCAACCTCTAAGCAGGACTGTTACTTCAGTAGATAATGTTATTCGTGGGGTTTGTGTAACAGAACCCCATCAGAATATCTTTTCCTAACGTTATTGCTGTGCTACAAAAGAGTAAATAACTAGTCAGCCATTACTACATGTTTTACTAAACGTAAAGTTGTGCAGAAGTTTGTGTTTATTTTTCTAAATTTGTCCTGTTGAATGTAGGTCAGAATAAAATATGTTTGTGAAAATGATAATTTTTTTTTATAACTGACATGCATTTTCATATTACTAGTTGTGCCACAGGTAAAGATGCTTAGCCATTATTGATCTATGTAAACAGAAGGTGTAGAGTCTCAACCAACTTGATGACATTTTTGTTTAAAAATGTGTTTTCCAGCTACCGGAAGAAGCAGGCTCCTGAAACTGCAATTCAGGGAGGTTATGTGCAGTCAACCTCGACACCCAGTAAGAGAACAGACGCTAAAATGTCGCATCGATTATCTCCAACTGAACCAGTGTCTGAGGGGTTAGTATCTTTTCTGTAAAACAAATATTCACGTTTTTGTGCTATGATATTTCATACATTAAATTACACCTTGCATATCCACTAGGGATGCTCCGATCCGATCACGTGATCGGAAATCGGGCCCGATCACGTGACTTTTAAAAGATCGGAATCGGGTGTTAAAGATCAGATTTAACCTTATAAAACAACAAGCATGACATTTTTAATCAATCTTGAGTTTCAAATTGAATAACAATGGCTTAATTTTGTACCAAGTTTCACTTCCTCAATAAAGACATGACACCATACGGCAGCCGTAACGTCACACGTTTTAAAGTGGACCGTGGAACTCAGGTAGCAGTTAGCTAGCAGGTTAATGCTCGTCTCGCTCCAGGAGAGCAAAAAATGTCAGCGGTTTGGAATCATTTTAAACTGGAGACCGAAAGCTGTCCAGCAGCCACTTGCAACGTGTGCAAACTGAGTGTTTCACATGGTGGAAAAGACAGAGCTGCTTTTAACAGCGCGAACCTGATCCGGCATCTTAAGAACAAACATCCAGCTCAATATTCCGAGTTCACCGCGGCAACGCAGATCAAAACATGGAGCCAGCCGACACGGGAAGCTATGCTGAAAAACAAAGAAAAACTTCCTAAGGATAGCGACAAGGCCAAGAACATCACAGCCGAGATAGCTGAATTTATTGCACTAGATGACCAGCCGCTGTCTGTGGTTTCAAACGTAGGATTTCGCCGTCTCATGGAGCACCTGGAGCCACGGTACGAGTTACCTTCTCGAAGCTACTTTACAGACACAGCTCTGCCCAGCATTCACAACAAGCTACGTGACCACCTGTTAGTCATGCTATCAAAGGTGTCTGCTTTTGGGTTTACCACAGACATATGGAGTTCGTCTGTTTGTCTAATGTCACTGATCAGCTTCACTGCACAATGGATCGACTCGAGTTTTAATTTACAACGTGCTACGTTAAATGTGCAACATTTTCGCGGATCTCACACAGCAGAGCATGTGAAACAGGCTATCGAAGAGATGCTGAACAGTTGGGCAATTGAAAAGGAACGTGTCCATGTAATTGTGCGTGACAATGCGCGAAATATGAAGAGAGCCATGGAGGACTTGGCAGTACCGAGCTTGGGCTGTGTTGCACACACGCTTCAACTTGTTGTGCACGAGGGTCTGCTCTCTCAGCGCAGCGTCACAGACACAATGGCTAATGCCAGGAAGATAATAGGCCATTTCAAACATTCTCCTTTGGCCTATTCACGCCTGAAAGATATCCAGATTTCTCTGAAGATGACCGTGAAGCGCCTGCAGCAGGATGTGCATGTTAGATGGAACAGCAGCCTCTATATGCTACAGAGCATTCTGGAGCAAAAGCGAGCGCTCAGCATCTATACAGCTGACCACAACCTCCCTGCTACACTAACATCTAGTCAGTGGACCCTGATGGAGAATACAGCTGAAGTGTTAGTTCCCTTGGAAGAACTGACTAGGGAAGTGAGCAAGGAGACTGCAACTGCAGCAGATGTGATCCCTGCCATTTCAGGTTGGTTTTGTTTTATTTTCTACATTTTATTTAAAGAACACACAATGTTTTTTATTCTAAATAAGTAATAAACTGTTATCCATCTATTCATTCTCTAAACAGCTCTCAGACGTGTCCTGTCTCGAGAGCAAACGACTGACCAGGGTGTTCGAACCATGAAAAGAACTCTCCTAGAGGCGGTGGAGACTCGCTTTGCTGAGGTAGAAAAGGAACCACTCTACAGCATCGCCACTTGAGTGGATCCAAGATACAAAGACAGGCAAGTAGAAATAATGTACATTTTTAATTTGATTCTAAGAAAATAAATTTTCAAAACTGTAAGTCAGCCAATGTCTAATTATGTTTTTAAAATTTAGATTTAGCTCTGTTAATGATTAGAGAATTATTTACTATTACATTAATATAACAGCTGAACTGTTGTGTTATGCAGTGTCTTGCCTAACAATTTTTTTAAATTGTTACATTTATCTTGTAGATATTTCACAAAGTCAGACCACCTGAGGTTTGCTAAAGATTCCCTCATCCAGGAGGTGATGAAGATGGAGGAGAACAGGGTTGCCAGTAAAGAACCAGAGGCAGCAGAGCCTGTGAGCAAGGCACCTCGTCAAGGAGCAGGAAGCAGCCTTGGCAGCATCTTAGATGAGATCTTAGAAGAGCGTCAGCCAGAGGCCCAATCTGTGAGTACCACATCAGCAGATGTCCAGGTATGGATCTACCTTTCCGAACAAACCATCCCTAGGAAAAGCAATCCTCTTGACTACTGGAAAACACATGCTACACAGTTCCCTTCACTGGCTGCTGTTGCAACCAAATTTCTCTGTGCCCCCTGCACCTCAGTGGACAGTGAGAGACTCTTTAGTGCAGTGTCAAACATTCTTGATGAGAATAGGAATCGGCTCTCCCCCGACAAGTTAGAGATGCTGATTTTCCTCAAAAAAAAAAAAACATGCACTTTATTTGGGAGCCTTAGAGTAAAAGTTGAGCTCCATATAGAGCACATGGAAGAGGTGATTTACCAGTTCTTTGCAATTTGATGTTGATGTTTTATACTTGAATGGTGTTAAGTTCGTACACCACTTTGTTTAGGCATATCTTTTGTTCGTTTTAATAAACTAGTCAGTCTAAAGGCCTAAGATGTATTTTATTTTGTTACCTGACTGAATTATGCAACTACCTCTTAGAGGTGGAGGTAAGCACTTTAATTTAACTTCTATTATTGTGTTGAGTTATTTTACAAACCTTTTCTACTTTTCTATAAAAACAAATTTGTTTACATATTGTTGCACCACTGATAAGCTACAAAGATATAATTTTGTTTCCTTAGTTTGAAGTGCTGCTGCACTAACAAAATGTTTCTACTTTCTTATGGTATCATGTTGGATGCTGTCATATAAATAATAATAAAAAAAAACTAACAGGTTAATTTGGGTGCAGTCTCCCTTTTTTCTTGCTATTTTATTGTATTGCTGAAGTATCGGATCGGGACTCGGTATCGGCAGATACTCAAAATCAAATGACTCGGAATCGGATCGGGAGCCAAAAAATGTGATCGGAACATCCCTAATATCCACACTTGGTTCAGAACTAACATCACACCACCAAACACTTCTGACATTATCTTTACAGGGAAGATTTTCTAATGGCTGGTGTTGAGGCCTTAGCTGATGACCTAGATTTGGATCCTTTTGAAGAAAGGTAAATTTGTTCATGAGAAGTCTTGCCATATACAGTGGGGCAAATAAGTATTTAGTCAGCCACCGATTGTGCAAGTTCTCCCACTTAAAATGATGACAGTGGTCAGTAATTTTCATCATAGGTACACTTCAACTGTGAGAGACAGAATGTGAAAAAAAAATCCATGAATTCACACGGCAGGATTTTTAAAGAATTTATTTGTAAATCAGGGTGGAAAATAAGTATTTGGTCAATAACAAAAATTTAACTCAATACTTTGTAACATAACCTTCGTTGGCAATAACAGAGGTGAAACGATTACTATAGGTCTTTACCAGGTTTGCACACACAGTAGCTGGTATTTTGGCCCATTCCTCCATGCAGATCTTCTCGAGAGCAGTGATGTTTTGGGGCTGTCGCTGAGCAACACGGACTTTCAACTCCCTCCACAGATTTTCTATGGGGTTGAGGTCTGGAGACTGGCTGGGCCACTCCAGGACTTTCAAATGCTTCTTACGGAGCCACTCCTTTGTTGCCCGGGCGGTGTGTTTGGGATCATTGTCGTGTTGGAAGACCCAGCCACGTTTCATCTTCAAAGCTCTCACTGATGGAAGGAGGTTTTGGCTCAGAATCTCACGATACATGGCCCCATTCATTCTTTCCTTAACACGGATCAGTCGTCCTGTCCCCTTAGCAGAAAAACAGCCCCAAAGCATGATGTTCCCACCCCCATGCTTCACAGTAGGTATGGTGTTCTTGGGATGCAACTCAGTATTCTTCTTCCTCCAAACACGACGAGTTGAGTTTATACCAGAAAGTTCTACTTTGGTTTCATCTGACCACATGACATTCTCCCAATCCTCTGCTGTATCATCCATGTGCTCTCTGGCAAACTTCAGACGGGCCTGGACATGCACTGGCTTCAGCAGCGGAACACATCTGGCACTGCAGGATTTGAGTCCCTGCCGTTGTAGTGTGTTACTGATGGTGACCTTTGTTACTGTGGTCCCAGCTCTCTGCAGGTCATTCACCAGGTCCCCCCGTGTGGTTCTGGGATTCTTGCTCACCGTTCTCATGATCATTTTGACCCCACAGGATGAGATTTTGCGTAGAGCCCCAGATCGAGGGAGATTATCAGTGGTCTTGTATGTCTTCCATTTTCTGATAATTGCTCCCACAGTTGATTTTTTCACACCAAGCTGCTTGCCTATTGTAGATTCACTCTTCCCAGTCTGGTGCAGTCTACAATTCTTTTCCTGGTGTCCTTCGAAAGCTCTTTGGTCTTGGCCATGGTGGAGTTTGGAGTCTGACTGTTTGAGGCTGTGGACAGGTGTCTTTTATACAGATAATGAGTTCAAACAGGTGCCATTAATACAGGTAACGAGTGGAGGACAGAAAAGCTTCTTAAAGAAGACGTTACAGGTCTGTGAGAGCCAGATATTTTCCTTGTTTGAAGTGACCAAATACTTATTTTCCACCCTGATTTACAAATAAATTCTTTAAAAATCCTGCCATGTGAATTCATGGATTTTTTTTCACATTCTGTCTCTCACAGTCTAAGTGTACCTATGATGTAAATTACTGACCTCTGTCATCATTTTAAGTGGGAGAACTTGCACAATCGGTGGCTGACTAAATACTTTTTTGCCCCACTGTATGCAGGAAATTACTGCTGTACTATGTGCAAAAAAGATAATAACACAATAGATAAGCAAATATAGGTCATTATATATATTTATTTATGTTGTGAAGTGTCAATTCACGGCAGATTGTTGTTATTTGCAGAAATAATTAATGACAGATGTATTAGGCTCCACATTTATCTCTTTAGAATCAGTACCATTTCAGGTGAGTTCCAGTATTTATCTTTACATACAACAAATATTACTGTGTTGTCTGTAGTTTCAAATCCATGGATCTAGCTACGGATGCAGTCCAAATTGATGAGGACCAAGCAAACAACTTACTCAACAGTGTGTGAGTTGCAATGTCTTCTTATCTACACTCTTTTTTTAAACTCCAAAGTCTTAAAACAATATATTAATTCTACTTTTATTTATTGTTTTCATAACAGAATAGAACTGTTATGAAAACTTTGTCAGGCTGACGAAGTTTGCAGCCGCAAACAAAACGTTGCAGGTAAATAAAACCCTTCTATGTTTTAAAAAGAACTAAAAGATGGAACTGTTGTTTTATCCTTGCTCACAGGCTGGGATCCTAAAGGGAATTTCCATCCTACTTGTGTGGCTGAAGGACATCGTCAACCAATTTTGGTACATTTGCCAGAAAGCACAACATCGTGATATGTTTAATGTAAGTATTGTGACATCTTTTGGACAACAAGACAACAATGCACATTGACATAATTACCTTTCTTTTCATAATAGTGCCAGCTCTCGTGTTTCTGTTGGTGAGCGCTTCTGTCACATGTAAAGTTTTCAAATAAAACTTATTTTTTCTGTTAGGACATGTGGGTGGATGTGCTTCACCATGTCACAGGGAAGCACGAATGGACCCGTGGCAAATGTGACCATGGACCACTTGATGCAACGACCAGTGATAAAGAGCTCATGGTACCATGATCTCCACCACACGAGGCTCTTCAACGAATCATGTTCAACAGACGCTGGTTGAAGGAAGTCACCAAGTATCTGACCTTTAGGTATATTGATAACATTTTCATAAGCAAAAAAGCTAAAGTTTCAATATCAAAGCTGACAATTTACATATAGAAATGACAATTGTGGGTGAAAAGGCAATCAAAAGTGTGATTCCTAATAATCTATAAAGTTGTAGCTTTTGTTTTTTTTACAGGTCAACTTCAGAACTGGAGAGTTTCCAGAATTGCGTTCTCATGTAATCTATGTATGATCTAATGCTGCTGTTCTCCTCCCTCCATAAAGGCCCCAGCTACGTGAAGCATCAAAAGACAGGAATGACTTCTTTCATGCACACAGATTTATTAGAAATTAAGAAAAAATACTATGTACAAATGCAAATAACAGAACTTTTTTGTACATAAATAAAAATAAATATATTGCACAAACTGTTTGTTTATTTTTGGGTGAAAATGCTGTCTTCATCTAGTTATTTTGAGGTATTGTGCTGTTTTGGAACTACTGTAGTTGTAGATAAACGGTTTGGATTTTTGGGTTAGGGTGCCCTCAGTCAGGAAGACGGTGTCCTGGCGTCTCTTGCCGAAACTCCAGGATATCCAGCATCACCCCTGGAAGACGGGTCACCACTCTCGCGAGAATATAATCTCTCTCCTCCTGGCTCAGGTGTTGTAAAGCTGTCTAGAAATTAAAGAGCATATGTTTACATGACTGGATTCATATCTCCAGTGAGTGATGTTTTCGTTTTTGGCATCTATTATTAGGGTTCCAAGCCCAAAGGGCAGGGAACCCTATTGTTTTTCTACGGATTTTTCATTATTTATTATTCTTCATTATTCTTCTCCGCTGTGTCTGTATGGGCGCAAGAGCCTGAAATTGCCAGGGAAAATCTGACATGGCAGTCTGATAGAAAATCCTGACCGCTACTCAGATTCGAAAATTTGGACCCCGCATCACCTAGGTGGCGCTATTGCGGAGGTCAACACGTTTCAGCTACTAGCTCCCAAACCGTAGGTCCTACAGTCAAAAACTTTATATGTACATGATCCTTGGATGATTCTCCATCTTTTTTAAATTGGCCACGCCCATTTCCGCCTAACTAGATTTTTTGCTAGATCGCAAAAAACGCAAAACTTACTTTTAATAACCTATTCGTCATTTTTCGTCGAATCAACTTCAAACTTCGTACATGTGATCTATGGACTAAGGTTAGTTGTTGTGATGAAGAAAAATGCAGAAATATTGAAAATTGGGCTAATGACACCATGTCAAAATCAGTGCGCTAGCTAGCACATGTGGTAATTGATGATATCTTGACCATTTCTCAAGATAAATTGATGAGACTCTAGACCCTTATGAAGTATGAGCGGTAAGCCCTATCTACCCCATTTTGTTTGGATTCACCAATAGGGGGCGCTAAAGAGTCAAAAAGTTTGTTTCAGCTAAACGGCTTGATGGATTTCCACAGAACTTGGCACATATGTTAATCATCGGACCCTTAAGCTATACTTTGAAAATGATTAAAAAGTGGGCGTGGCTTATAGGCTTTAAAAATTTTCGCCCTTTTACTCATGAAAAATACATATTCTATACAGAAAATTACAATTCTTATCAGTCATAGTGACATCTACAATCACAGAAAAACTTTTGAATTTTGTCCAATAGGTGGCGCTGTGGTACCCCAAAAATATTTTTGGCATGTTTCTCCCCATTTCTTTCGTAAAAAAACAAATGATCTCGTCTAGTGTGTTCAATGAGTCAGTCAAATTTAGATGAGTATTTTAAAAAATGTTTTAAACTTATGCAAATTAGTAGAAATTTGCATAGTAAGTCCAACGTACTTTCGTTAACTCCTCCCGGCCGTCAAACTCAATCACATCACAACTTTTCCTGACAAGAGAGGAGGAGCGGCTGACCAAAAGATGTGAAGGGATTTGGGATAATTTGCTTATTTTTTTAATATGATTTTTTAAAATAATTTTTTGGGAATGAAAAAGTTTTTTTTAGCGTAACTTCAAAAGATTTTGACATTTTTCAAAGCTGTTCATAACATTCATACCTAAGGTCAATTCAAGTGTATGTCCTGGTTTTCAACTTGATTAAACAATAGGGGGCGCTATAACTGGGAAGAAATTATACTGCTAAACCAGCTAAATGGATCTGCACGAAACTTAGTGGCTGTCATCACTATCGAGTCTTAAGACTACATTATCAATATGGTAATGATTGATCAAAGTGGGCGTGGTTTATGATCATTTAAAATTTCAAATTTGAAAAATGTCCTAAAAATCACTATTTGCATGTAAGAGGCTAAGATTTCCAGATTGTGTTAACTGGATAGGCTAGAGCTTATGTCACGAAAGCCGCAGCTCCACAAAGAGGTTTGCGCTTTATATTTACGAAAATACATTTTTAGGCTAGCAATTGTAGCGCAAAATGTGTTCTCACAATCTTCTTGTAATTTGCCACAAAGTTCACTCTTTGGTGGTTTATGAAATAAAAAAAATGTCGTCTTGATTTGAGCTCCCCCTAGTGTTTAATTATAGGACATATTTTTGTCTACAGCCACTAATGCAAATATTATTTTATTGTAAGTACAGTTTTACATTTATGACCCCAACAAAAATATAAGAAGAATTCTCACATCACAGAGGCAACCTGGGAATATTTTGAGATTTCTGTACAAAAGCATAGATTTTTAATGAATTTTTAACTTTTTACCAGTTTTTCTGTATAGTTGGACAACAACGTAATTAATATTTGTTTTAGAAAGATTTTTAGGTATACAGTAAATATAAGCCATTTACAACATTCCACATGTACCTATGGTGATCTGAGATTTTTCTCCTAATTTTAGAAAGTAGCACTATTTTTTTATGAATATTTTAATTTTTGTTGTGACCTTTATAGTTATATTTACCAATTTTTCTTCAAAAAAGCTTTGAGTCTACTGATTTAAAAACAACATCATAGTATTCCGCATGTTAACACTGCCATGTGAGAATATTTTGGTAATTTTAGGATGATTTGTGTATTTTTCATGATTTTTTAAAACATTTGGTCAGTAAGTCACAAAATGAAACTCATAGTTTTTGTTGAAAATCTTTTAAATCTAAAGACATTATCAAGGATTTATGTTATTTGTAATATTCCGTTGATGTATAGATCATTGTTTGATAATCTCACTCATTAAATCTTCACGTTCTTTAATAAGGAAACAGTGGAATTCCATTGTAATCACCATTGAGAAGTCAGCCATGCCTCTGAAAGATATGTGTATAGGCTTCGCAGGTTTAATGACGTATCCTGAGTGTTACTTTCATTGCGCCGGTTGAAGTGAGCTGACGGGACGCCGGCGGGAGAACGTGTTTTTGGGGCGGGACCGCGTGAGGACTGGCGAAGTTGAGGGCGGGGCGGGTGGGCGACTGGCGCTGGGGGCTTGGAACCCGTTGATAACTGCTTGCAGTTCTAGTTTTATTTTATTTTTTTACACAAATGGCTACAACCAACCTGCATCTCAGCTATACTGGCAGCTCTCAGCTGTGCAAGCCGGTCTCGGCCCTCTTCTCTGAAAGCTGATGTTCGCTGCCTACCCCGGCGCCCTGGTCCTCTTGAAGGAGCTCTGGACCTCGACCTGCTGCCCTCACCCCTTGAGCGTGTCCTTCCCCGACCCTCGGAGCGACCTTTTCCTCTCCCCTTTCCTTTAGCCCCTGGTCTCAGACTTTCCCACTACACATCAAAGTCTGTGGCAGGCTCGGGCACACTCCATCTGAACTGTCTTCCATCACTCCTTCCAATGTGAATTCCTGAAAATCAATGGCAGTAATGATAAAAATGACTGTATTACCCTGTAGGTCTTGTTGATATTATGATTTTATTTTGATGCATTTTTGAACTAAACATTGATATTTATGTTCTTATTTACATTGTTGTGATGCCTGTCCTGTAATAGTTTCACAAATGATGTCAGTGACGTGAAATTGGATGTTCTTACATGATGAATAAACAATAACATTAGCTTGTTAGCAAGCTTGGTGCAAAATAATAACTGTAATTGGTCTAAAAACATCAGAAATCACCTGCAGCCACAAAGCCTTATGCTAATAAAGTAGCATCATGTTACTGTCTTGCTCGCCTGTCACAAAACTGGCTTATGAATATTTCATAGGAAGGAGCACTTGCTTTACATCACGAGTGTCATGGCTAAATTAAAATGCTAATGTTGTCATGGAATTTTACAAATATTAGACTAAAGTAACAATGTTACTTACTTCATCGCTCGACACGGTGCCTTGCTCGAGCCGCGCTCTGGCCGTACATCACTGTAACTTTTTTTTTTCTAGTGAAGAGTTTGTGCGCGCTCTCGTGCCGGGCTGCAGTTACTCACAGCGCCGAGTGCGTCGCTAATGAGTTTCGTTTCTTCATCCTGCCCCATGCTCCTTTAAAGTGAGAGTGAAGGCATGGGTGGAAATGTATTTCATCCACAATTCCTGTTAGGAAAACGCTTCTGAAAGAGGCGTCTCCTGGCGGACCGAGAGAGCGGCACTGAGGCAGTGATAGACCGCACCCCCCTCAACCCCCCGCGTGTGCTGTCGGGAGTTTCTCAATCTAAAAATGAGTTGTGAACGAGCGTGTGCACACTCGGGCGTGCAATGCACTTACACAAGACTTACCGCTCAGGAGAAAAGCAGACATATTTTGGGGGATTTCCTGTTAACCGCAATCATTAGATGAAAAGGGGAGGAGGGCATTTTTTTCAAGTAGGCGAGCGGCTCAGAGCGCTAATGTGTCATATCGGCAGGTGATTGGCTGAGCCAGGTGGAGGTGCAGCGAGACTCAGCAGGAGTCCAGTGCAGAGCAGCCACGTAGTACTGCACAGAGGTCACCCTGCAGCTCTACAGCAATCAGCTGCGGCTGATTCTGAATGGATGTGGAGCAGAGTTTTAACCGGAAGATGGAGATAGAATTATAGTTTTGGGCTGAAATATTATATTTAAAGTAAGTTGAACTAAACTGACAACATAAGAATTACACATCTGTACCTATTAGACACTCATCTGTACAGGTTACCAGCAAAAATACGTTAATTTAGCTTTCGCTCTTTAACAAGCAAGCCATGATTTAAATAGATGAAAACTTAAGTTAAATGACTGCAACAGGCTAAAGCTGTAACAGATGCAGTTTCCCTCATCTCATCAACTCTGATCCCTCAACAACCTAAAAAGCTTTCTCTCAACATTTTCTGGAGACACTGCATCTGTTTTACCATCAAAACCCTATCCAGCCTAAATATCAAAATTCTGTTTTAAATGTAAATGTCCAAAGAAATTAGATGCAGAGTGAAATAATCCACAACATTGCAGAATACAAGGTTTGAGTTGTTTTAGAAAAGGAAACTCTTCCATGACTTTATTTTGATGAGTTTTTAGATTGTCCCACCTATCAGGAATCTAATTTCTAAAACCGTGTTAGCACTGGCTCCTGTTTTTATGCACAAAAACAGATGCTAGTTTGTCTGTGACGTCTTTAAACCACGTTGATCATTTCTGACATGTCAAACACACGGTCTTTGTTCCTGGTTTTACTGGATCTTGATGTATTTATGTAAATGATTTTTTTAACTACCATGTGCATCTGGGGAGGACCAGTGAACATGAGCCCTCCGATGAGCAGTAAAATCACCCTGATTGTATCACCGTTTTATATTCATCTCACAACGCTGTGAGAATGGTTGCTACAGTCCCGGAGCTGCGCGTGCAGCGACCCTGATTGTATATAGTGACTGAACTGGTGCATGTTAGTTCTCCCTAAAAAAAAAAACAAAAAAATAAAAATAAACACACGATTTAACGTCATCAAATGGGCAGGGGTGAAATCTGCCTTCATACCTGTGCAGGTGATGATGTGCGTTAGTTATGAACACAGCTAGTAAACACCTACCTCCGCTGGTTACGTGTTAAGCTTGTAGATTGTTGACAGGATAGAAACGCTGCCTGCTGTTGGTGTCCTGATGCTGATGCAGCAAGCTACAGACTTACCGCTAGCTAATGCCCAGGCGCACTAGGTTGTTAAAAAACGTTTCGCTTACCGTTCCTCTGTCGTTTGAGAACGGGACAGTATTTCCGGTTCCCAAAGCTGTCTCGTCATCTCTGTGAAACTGTGGCGTTTAGGCTAGTGGGAGGCAAAGCGGAGCTTTCTGCTAGCAACATCATTAGCCTAGCTAGTCCTGCCAGCTAGCTAGCTAACTGCTCAGCTGCCTGACAGGATTTTTTTGTCTCAAACTTTATTTGTCACATCAGAACATTATAAAAGTATAAATGAGAACATGTAATCAGGTGCTAGAAAACAGTAAAAGAGGTTAAAAAACTAATCAACTTCAACAGAGATAATAAACAAAAAGGCAATAAAAGATATGTTGAAAAGGTTAAGTCAACTGTTGTTGTTTTATTTTATTTTTGTTTGTTTGTTCATAAATCAATGGAAATTATGTCTGTTATTTGTAAATTTCCATGTTTGGACATTGAACTGTGTAATAATATCTAATAATATAAAAAAGACAGTTTACTTCCTGTCAAATGCTCGGAAGCAAGTGATATTGGTGATTCAGACTTTAAAATTACTCTTTTATATTCAACTAATATATGCATAATATCTCAAATTAATCTGTGATTCTTTCACACAAGTCACATGCTCCCTCAAAACGACAGAGCAGAGAGAGAGAGAGAGAGAGAGAGAGAGAGAGAGAGAGCGAGAGAGCGAGAGAGAGAGAGAGAGAGCGAGAGAGAGAGAGAGAGAGAGCGAGAGAGAGAGAGAGAGAGACTGGGGGGATTTCTCCACATTCAGTATGGAAGAAAGATGTAAAACAACACACAACTGTTGCCCTGATGGAACTGTGTTGCTTTCTGCCTATAATTGGACAAAAGTCCTTCAATGCTGTATTTACACCAAACCAAAGTTAAAGGTTGACTCTGGAACACGGACAATGGTGAACTCTAGTGTTCAGAGGTGGTATTGCAACAACAGGACACATTTTCCAGCCGCTGGGATGTTCATTCACTGCTGACACGTTCCAGCACCATGTTCAGGGACAAATTACACAGGATGAGGATAATTTTAGTATTCACTGTTAAAACATCTTCTGGGCTCAGAATCAACTGCTTGACTTGTCAAGTCTGCAATTTTACACAGTCTCAACCTCGCCTTGCTGTGCAGACTTTTAGCGCAACGGTGCCCTCTAGTGGCTAGTATACGTAAACACAAACACAGTGTTGTGCACGACTGAAGAAACATTTGATAATTTATCTTTTTAAAAATAGCTTTAAAAGGAGAATCTGAATATTCATTCTGCACACCTCTGAACGCCCCGTGGAGGTATTTTTTAAATACAGATTTTTATTGAAATGTTCCATATTCTAATTTTAATGCAAAAACACTTAAGTGTTTATAAAAGTGTATATGTGGAGTTTTGCTATTTGTCTTTTCTTTTTGTGAGTAACTTTCTTCCCGATAAAAGCTATGGCTATAGTTCAAATATTTTTACCTTTGTCTAAAAGAAAGAGAACAATCTAGTAGATGTCATTTGATTTATAATCGGTAAGGAAGTGAAATTGTTGAAAAATTTAGAAAATGTTTAAATTTCAGTAAAGCTATGAAAGTATGGAGCTAGGATTGGGACAATATTCAGCGTAACTTGTACCAAGTTTTGTAACTTCGAACATGTTTCATCACATGTAACTTTGGATTTGTAACTTGTAACTTTGGATTTGTAACTTGTAACTTTAGTTTTCTAACTTGTAATTCTCAATTCGTACTTGTACTTTTTGTTTTGTAACAGGAACGTTGTATTTTGTACATGTATTTATTATTTTGTAAAATCAAACTTTTATTTTGTACATTTACTACTCATTTTGTAACATCAAACATTCATTCTGTCACACCCTGTCCTGTCTCCCTGTCTGGTTCAGCCTTGTGTCTCGTTAATTACTCCCACCTGCCTCTCGTTCTCCCAATCACCTTAGCTCCCAACCCTCCTGTATTTAAACCCCGTCTGTTCTGTGTCCTGTGCCGTTTCATTGTTCCAGTGTCAGCGTGCTTAATAAACCTATGTTAATCTTTCCTATTTGCCTGCCTGTTTGTCTCACCCGCGTTGGATCCTCACCTTGTCTCCGCTTTGTCCACCGGCGCGTATGACAGAATGAAACGGCCCAGTAACGGATCCAGCGGGGAGATTCTCTCCTGGGGGTGCCTACTCCAGTTCCTCTCCGCCGACCACCGGCCGGCTTCTCCTTCTCCTTCTCTAGCTCCAGCACCGCCTCGCCGCAGACAACGGCACCGACCTTCAGCCTCTGCGATCCTCGCCGTCCTTCCGGAACCGGATGGGAGTTTGGACCGGGAGACGCTCCCGGATCGCTCCAGTTTTGTTGGCATGAGCCTGGCCGTCTGTTCCCCCGGAGTTGGTCCACGGCGTGGGGAGAAACGCCAAGCTCCACCGCAATCCGGTATCACGGGACGGAGCTGTGAGTTTGCTGCTGTCCCTGCCCGGCGCAGCAGTTTGGACACGCCCTCGGCCAGACCAGCAGTTCCGTCTCTGAACCAATCGCCGCCTCAGTCATCTAAAGGGGGAGGAGCGTTGGCCGCAGCCCAGCTAACCGAGCTTGTCAGTCTCCCGGCGGAGCTTGGCCGGTTCCGCCAGCTCATCCACACCAGGAATCCCGGCTGGACGTTTTATCCTCCTCTTCTCATCCAGCGGAGCTCGCCGGTCTCCGGGCTGAGCTGACCCAGATCCATCGGGCCCTCAGCCTCCGGGAGCTTCAGCTGGACGGTTTGTCCTCCCTGCTCTCTCCGTTCCCAGCACCTCCGGTTCACACGCAGCCTGTCCGGGCAGCCCCTCCTGCAGCTGCTCCACCTCCACTCCAGACGTCAACGGATCCGGCCCAGAAGCAGACGGTTCGGGCCTAGAAGCAGACGGTTCGGGCCCAGAAGCTGACGGTACCGGCCCAGAAGCAGACGGAACCAGCCCAGAAGCAGACGGTACCGGTTCCGGTCCAAAAGTCGGCGATCCAGAAGTCGAAGGACCAGAAACTAGTGATGGAATGATGATACCTCAAGGAGTGTATTGACACACTAGCCAAACTGTGTCGGCACTGTATTGACACTGTGTTGGTCACTCAATAGCGACACCTGCAGTATTTCTAAAATCATTGCAGGTAAATAAGATGGAAAAGGTTACATGCTGCAAACCCACACCAGGTGTGCAAGATTTAATTTCCTGTAATCAAAATATTATATCATTATGCAATTTAATTTACTCAATTTGTTAAGTTCTTTATGAAAGGAGTTTAACATTTGCTTGTAACCTTTGTGTAAATGCTACAATGAGTTGGCATGTTAAATCTTCTGAATGTGTCTAATAAAAATCAGAAGTAAAAGTTTTAACTTGTGTAAATGTGTTAACCTCTGTGTTAGATCATACAAAATAAAAGACTAAATATGGATTCATTTATGCATTTTTATTGAGGAACAAAAGTTTGTGCAGTAAGTTTGCTCCAAGGCGATTTCTCCTCTTAGACACCAGTTCCCCTGCCTTAGAAAACACTCTTTCACAGGGTACAGATGAAGATGGTGTGCATAAGAATTGAAGTGCGAGTTGATAAAGGTGTGGATATAAATTCTGGTTATTTTTCCAATATTGTAATGGGTCTTGTGTTCTTGGTGCATTTCTTTCAGCCAGGTAGCGTTGGACTTCAATTATGGAATTGGCTGTAGTATTAGAGGTCATCCTGCTCTCCTCAACCTCCATATCAAGGTGCCTCCAGAGATTGTGTCCTAACAAATAAATTGGAAATAAGTCTGTTAATCATTGGTTTACTATCACATGACAAACTTCCGCAGAAATAAACAAATATTCACAAAGAAATGTGTTTTCATACCTGAACTGTGTTCTGATCCATGTGAAGTGCTAGGCTCCTCTACTGCTGGGTCAGGCTCATGGCTCCTCATTTCAGCAGCACACTCTGACTTCAGTCTCTTGACAGCTTCAGTTGCTTTCAGTGGACTAAAAAAGCCAGCAGTTTTAAACCTGGGGTCCAACAATGTTGCCAGTGACATCACACTGAGCGATTCCATGTTGCAGATGGACTCGGTTAGCCGCTTTGACAGATTTTCAGCCAGCTGTTTAGCAGTGGGTTTTGTCACCGTTGAAGATTGATGTTGAAGCTCAATGTGGATCATTCTCATCAATGGAATAACCTTTGACCCCGAGACTCTTTTTTCCTCAGAGAGTTCTCTTGTGGCTTGGTAAAAAGGAGCAAGCACCCTGAGCATCTCTTCAATGATTTCAAATTCTTCTGGAGTCAGTGGAGTGAGATCAGTTTTTAATGAGGCCAGTGACACCCAGACTGCCTCCTTCTGCTCAGTCAGTCTCTCCAGCATGTGGTAGGTGCTGTTCCATTGTGTCGGCACCTCATTTATTAATTTATGCAATGGTGTTCCCAGCTGTTGCTGCATTTGAGTGAGCTTTTCCTTGGCCATGGTGCTTGATCGAAAGTATGTCACAATTTGCCGTGCTTTGTTGCGTAGTTCTGTTAGTGTTGAGATTTGATCACATGACTTTCTTACAATTAAATTTATGGAATGGGCAATGCAAATGGTTTGCCGTACTTGCAGCATTCGAGCACATGCAATCATGTTTGCTGCTGCATCAGTGACAAGACACCTGACTTTGCCTGCTATGCCCCACTCCTTCATGAGGCTCCTTTTAACTGTGGCCATGTTTTCTGCAGTGTGTTTCTGAGGGAAATGCTGCACTCCCAAGACTGATGAACAGAGTTCATGGCTTTCTTTGTCCACATAGTGGCAAGTAACGGCAAGATATGCCTCCATATTAATGGATGTCCACATATCAGCTGTTAAACTAACAGCAATGACGCTCTGGA